GCACAGCTCCGGCCTCTGCAACCACAGACTGGAAGAAAAAAAAAGCCGCATTTCTGATTGCGTTTAACCGAGAGCGTGTGGGGTTTTTTTTGTTGTCGGATTCTATCCAACTCGTAACGTTTTACTGCCGTGCGCGTGCTGGGTCACAGCGGCAAAGCCTCCGCGATAATTAAGGAGTTTTATCCAGAAATGTTTGATGTAACTAGTTGTTCCTGTACAGTATGCAGAGATGATTCTCATAATATTAAGACGTGACATGAATCCAATTCTGCTCTTGGTTCTTTCGGTAAAGTCACGTAGAAGGGAAACAATAAAATAATAAAAATATTAAACAATTATATTTTTATAAAACAATTAAATAAAATAAAAATCTAAAACAATTAGATTTTTCTTATTTTATTGTTTCCCTTCTACGTGACTTTACCGAAAGAACCAAGAATATGAATCCCTGCAGTCACGAAAGCTTTAAATCAAAATAAATCAAATTATTATTTATCACAGAACTGTACCTGTAGAGTCAAGGTTCAGCCCCGCAATTTCTTACTCGTGCCACTGCTGGTTACCGAGAGCTCCATGGTGGAAGCCATTGTGAACCTACTCTTCCACCATGTCCAGACCTATTGGATGTCCCGACTCTTTCTCACTCGCGTAAACTACCGGATCTCATAACTCCATCTCCGGCTGTTACCGATTTACCCACCACATCGCCGGGTGGCATATCTTCAGCTGGCATATGCCAGTAATCCAGCACACCGTGAAGGAAACGGTCGGTGGACAGCAGAGATTCGCGGCACTCCCTAACCCACTGGGCCGCGAGGTGGTAGTATATTGCAGTACAGCAAGTGGGTTCATCAATTTGTTTGCATCGGGCCTAGAAGTGATGTCCCCTCGGATACGCGGTGGGGTTTCTCCGGGTGTTACCGGACTCCTCTTTCAAGACACTAAACACTCGTTAAAAAGGAATCGGGCAAAACATCCCAGGGCAGGGTCCTCCTGGCAAACAGTCTTGGAACTCGGCAAGGCCTTCCTGAGTAAGTAAATGTTATTACAGGCAGTCCTCTACTTACAATGGAGATGCGTTACGACGACCCCATCGTAAGTCAAAAATATCGTAAGTCGAAGATGGCCTAGCCTACCCAGGAGTCTTAAAGAATAGTGATAATTTAGCAAAAGAGAGCAATTTACAGTACCGTACTGTATAAACTATATACTGTATGTATTTATTAATTGCATAACTGTATTGCACAGTAAAATGTAAAGTAAAAAAAAGGTAAATTTTTAGCCTACCGATATGAACCGCAATTTAATAGAAAGTTTATTCAGGAAACAATCCTATCTGCTATAAAAACTTTTAACATGCATTGAACGTATCGTATCGTGGAAACCTTAAAATTAAATCGCTAAAGCTACGTATCATACATGCATTGAACGTATCATATTGGACTGTACTCCGCAAGATTCTGTCCGTCGTCTGCACACTTTAACGATGTTAGGTTGTTGATGGCAATTTTGTCGTATCGCTATCGCCATCGTAAGATCGAAATATCGTAAGTCGGATCATCGTAACTCAGGGACTACCTGTATTCAACTTATTATCATGAGGTTTCCCAGGAGTGAAAGGCAATGGAGGGTCACTCGAAAAATGTAACTGACATTGCGTTTAAGTTTGTTGCCCTTTCCCCGCACCTTGATTCGCAAGGTTGCCTACGTAGGGTGCGAAATAAGTTCAACAAACATCGAACACACATTCCAGTGTTTAAAAATTAGCTGCAAATCACACGGTTGGGTTTACAAACATTAAAAATCGCCCCCCCTACTGCGAAACACATGACAAGCCATTTTGTTGAGCTATAATTTGTGGACAGGTGGCTTCTAAAGAAGAGCTCAATGGATCTAACTTGGCAAAATAAAAGTTTTTTGTTTTAAAAACCATGGCAGGATCCTCCTGAAAAAGAATCTCGCAACTCCGTGAGACGCTTCTGCAAGTTGCCACGACATAATTTTTTAACGATACGATATTAACTTTCATCGTGACGACTACCACGACGTCAGTTTCCCATTACGATTGCAAATGCGTTTGGCAAACTTTGTTCGTGCAAGATTTTCATTTTCTCGTGCCAAGTTGTTTCTGTTCCCATTGCTATTTCCGTCATTTGCTGTATTTCATTAGTTTTTCTCATTTTGGGTGAGCCGAGGTGTACGCCTGTCCTGGTCCCTAACGTTCTCACCCGGGTAAACAAAACATCTATTTCAACTGGACAAACATCGTCCTATCGCGATATATCGTAGAGGAAGTCTCACTGTTGAATTGCGGAACAGCATCGCCCCCTGGTGGTATATCCACACGACACAGAGCAGAGGTCGCAAACAGGTTTTGATTCCTTACCCGTACCCAGCCGTACCCGTTCCCTACCCGTACCCTACCCGAAATGAGTGACAAACGGTGACTCACCAGTGACTCACGGCCTACCCGTACCCGGCCGCACCAGGGTCGCAAACGGCTACCCGTACCTGGCCGGGTATGGGTAGCCCGGTATCGGGTAGGGTACGGGTATCGGGTACCCGATTGCGACCTCTGACACAGAGACAAATATACCCCCGCATCGCCTTGAACAGACCCCGTTGGAGCAAATGCTGTTTGCGAGCACCTATTAAAAGCGGTACTCCACATGAAACGGGTGGGAAACACCACGCCCGGTCGCCTTTATCTCTCCCAGGTACAAGTACTCGTTTAATGACCTCGGAGGAGACCCCAATGCCCCTTGTTCAGATATTCGTCAGCGAGGACATCTCTACCCCCCAAATTAAAGCGGCATGTTCATAATCACCTTCTCCAAAGCAACACTATTCTCCCGATTATAAAGACACGAATTTTTTTGCAAAAACGACGCCAACATTTGGGGTACATCTTTTGTACGTGTGTAGAAGTTCTTTCACGCCCGTACGTCGTAGCCGACCGTGCTAATTGAATTCGAACTCGGGGTGGCCATTTTTCTCGACGCCACGTGTTTTTTTTTACAGCACAGGCTTAGGTAGGGGGTCACAGGCCTGAGAAGGAAAAGATAAAGCAGACAAAGCCAACCTATCTTATTGGTTCTTTCGGTAAAGTCATGTAGAAGGGAAATAATAAAATAATAAAAATAAAACATAAAATACAATTCTCACGTTTCGGCCACAACGCAAGCAGCCGTCCTCAGGTAAAGAACAGGTCTGTCGAGAAGACAGAATCTGAACATTCAAACGCGTCTGAACATTAAGAACAGGTCTTTCCGACAGACCTGTTCTTCACCCGAGGACGGCTGCTTGCGTTGTGGCCGAAACGTCGTGAGAATTGTATTTCATTGTTTTATTTTTATTATTTTATTATTTCCCTTCTACGTGACTTTACCGAAAGAACCAAGAAGATGAATCCCTGCAGTCACGAAAGCTTTAAATCGAAAGCCAACCTACACACGTATCTCTTCACGTGAAACAAATATATTTTTCAAAAGCATACCTGTCAACCCATACGGCTTACCTGTATTCCTGTACAGGGTACATTTAGTTTTCAGCTCCAAAGGGCGTACAGCCGTTTCAATACGGGCAAAAAAATGTTGAGTCTGTTCGTGTTTCTCCCTTGTGATGGTACTTTGTAGGATTAACGTTGAGATTTATAAGTGGGCACGGGGTGACCAATAAGGTATGAACTGGTCTGTAATAAGATAAGGGGTTGGCAGGCATGCAAAGGTATTATTTACAAACACCACTGTGGTTATTGGGAGTGCATAATTCCAGAAGTTTCAGATTTTTTTGGACGCTAAACCGAACCATCAACGATGATCATCACCACAAAGTCGTCCTTGCTTGTGTTCAGGGCCAATGCCGTAATGTGTGCGACTAATGGGATGAGTAAAAAAACTTCGTATTTTTATGAGCATGGACAGATGATGGGAAAGGTGGATTCGTTCTGCCTTTACTGTATGGGGCTCACATTGTACTACTCCTGGTTCTGCAGTGAGTGTGGAGTTTGTTGAATGTTCTCCCCCAAGCTCTGCATAGGTTTGTCCTCCGTTCTCCATACCAAAGTGTAAAAACAACAACTACATAGCCAAAACATCGTCCCATTGCTAGCTGACAAAATCGCCACGGTGTCTCGATGTCAACTACCTCGCCTGGTATGTAGGGAAGTCGTGGGTACGATCCCGACCCTGACGCCTGCTGCTGTATATTTGGAGTTTGCGTGTCTCTCTCTCATCATCATCATGGTGGCTAGGAGATGTTAACTACCTCGCCTGGTGTGCAGGAGGTCGTGGGTACGATCCCGACCCTGACGCCTGCTGTATATTTGGAGTTTGCGTGTCTCTCTCTCTCTCATCATCATCACGGTGGCTAGGAGATGTTAACTACCTCGCCTGGTATACAGGAAGTCGTGGGTTCGATCCCGACCCTGACGCCTGCTGCTGCTGTATATTTGGAGTTTGTGGTGCCTCTCTGTCACCGTGGTCGCGTGGATTTTTTCCCCGGGTCCTCTCCGGTTTGTGCCCCTCCACATTTAAAATCATCATCATCACGCGTCCAAGAAGAGTGATTTGGCTGTTCTAAATGTCTACGCGATAAGCCACGAATTCGCTTAACTACCAATTATTGTGGGCCAGGTCACCGTCTGGCAAAAACAATATTGCTACATTATCTCAGTGGGCCTTACCTGGTAACATAGGAAAACATGTTTTGTGTACCTGCAATTTACTAAATTAGGATTACAGTACACACAAAGACAACAACAGCATCAGCAACAACATCACTGCGAAAACTTAAGGCACGGTGCCTTAAATAATAAACAAAAATAACGATTGTAAATGTGTTGCTGTGCTAGTAACGAATTGGCACGTCCCGTTAACGTGTCGGGTGGTGGCGAGTTTAACGACACAATTATACATTTACACGATCTTAGCCGCCCTCAAATAAACCCCCCTGTAGTATTGATACTACTACCTCCATGGAACCCGTTGAGTTAGGAGCGCATGGTGACGGCAGAACACGTGGTGACCACGAGGTGACCGCCACGTGGTTAATGAACCGAACCTGCACATCCCGTCCCAGGTCCCTCGCTCCACGTGGATGCCCCCCACTCCACTCGGTCCCCTTGTTGGGGGTGTTGTTGTTGGGGGTGTTGTTGGGGGTCCAAGATGCGTGGGGGTCCACGTGGTCCCGGAATCCAGCTGCTCCCAGCAGAGGGGTCTGGGGTGAGGGGTCTAGGGGTCCTGGTGAGGGGTCCGGGATGAGGGGTGAGGGGACTAGGGTGAGGGGTCTGGGGTGAGGGTCCTGGTGAGGGGTGAGGGGTCTAGGGTGAGGGGTGAGGGGTCTGGGGTGAGGGTCCTGGTGAGGGGTGAGGGGTCCTAGTGAGGGGTCCGGGGTGAGGGGTCCTGGTGAGGGGACTAGGGTGAGGGTCCTGGTGAGGGGACTAGGGTGAGGGGTCGAGAGTGAGGGTCCGGGGGGATGAGGGGGTCTGGAGCTAGAGCAGCGGGGTTGAGGGGTCCGGGGTGAGTGTCCTGGTGAGGGGTCTAGGATGAGGGGTCTGGGATGAGGGGTCTGGGATGAGGGGTCTAGGATGAGGGGTCTGGGATGAGGGGTCTGGGGTGAGGGGTCTGGGTTGAGGGGTCCGGGGTGAGGGTCCTGGTGAGGGGTCTAGGATGAGGGGTCTGGGATGAGGGGTCTGGGATGAGGGGTCTGGGATAAGGGGTCTAGGATGAGGGGTCTGGGATGAGGGGTCTGGGGTGAGGGGTCTGGGTTGAGGGGTCCGGGGTGAGGGGTCTGGGGTGAGGGGTCTGGGATGAGGGGTCTGGGATGAGGGGTCTGGGATGAGGGGTCTGGGGTGAGGGGTCTGGGATGAGGGGTCTGGGGCTAGAGGAGCCGGGTGAGGGGTCCAGGGTGAGGGTCCCGGTGATGGGAAGGGGATGAGAGGGGACCAGGGTGAGGGGACCGGGGTGATGGGAAGGGGGGATGAGAGGGGACCGGGCCGCTGTCTCCTCTGCGTGTGACGCAGCTTCAGCGCGGGTTCGCGTTTCCTCCATCGCCCGGGTCCGCCGCCTCCCCCCGCCGCCTCCTCCTCCCTCCCCCCTCCAAGCTGCTGTTTACACCGCCAATAACATCATCGTCTTTACCGTTGACGACAAGTAGTTGTTAATGTTGTTATTGTTATTATTATTACACAAGCTGCTGCTGCTGCTGCTGCGGGAGAGAGGCGGCGGCGGCGGCCGCGCCAACGCAGCGACACCCAGAGGCTGCTGGTGGTGGTGATGATGGGGGTGGTGGTGATGGGGGTGGGGTGGTGGTGATGGGGGTGGTTGGTGATGGGGGTGGTGATGATGGGGGTGGGGGTGGTGGTGATGGGGGTGGTGGTGATGGGGGTGGTGATGATGGGGGTGGTGGTGATGGGGGTGGTGATGATGGGGGTGGTGATGTTGGGGGTGGGGGTGGTCGGGGTGGTGGTGGGGTGGGGTGGTGATGTTGGTGGTGATGTTGGTGATGGGGGTGGTGATGGGGGTCGTGATGTTGGTGATGGGGGTGGTGATGGGAGGGAGGGGGGTGGTGATGGGAGGGAGGGGGGTGGTGATGGGGGTGATGTTGGTGATGGGGGTGGTGATGTGGGTGGTGATGTTGGTGATAGGGGTGGTGATGGGTGATTGGGTGGGGATGGAGGATGGCGATGAGTGGATGGCGATGGGGTGATAGTGTGAGCGCTATAGATTCAGATTTGGGTCTGTGAATTAATCCGCTTTCACGGGTCACTATGCGAGTCAAATTTATTTTCAGGGTTAAAATGCAACGTTTCTTTTAAATCTCGAGTAGCTGATACATATTTTACTGAACAACCTAATGACCAACATTGTATTTGGGGTTCGATTACAGATGCGTCATTTAATTAGCCAACCACCTCTCGACAGAGCCAATCGTCAAATGTGCTAAATGTTGAAAGGTCCAACAATTTTAACAAATTTTTGTCCGACGTTTCGCTGGAGATCACACCCATCATCATCAGGCGTGAAATTTTTTCCTGCTGTGGGGTCATTCAGCAGATGCCGATATCGGAAAAGCCTTGCAAGATGAACCACTTTGATAATCGAGAGGTTATTGATCAGTGCAATAAGGTGATTATATTCTATCGGTAATTGTATTAAGGCGTGCTATTGTGTTCGCAATGAATCGGGCGTATTAATGCTCCAGTGGCCCTACTTTAGCGTTAAGTATTATACCTACACGGCGACATTACAGCTACACGATCTAACCCAAAATAAACGTAATTGTGAGTTAATGTTGGGGTCGTGAAAGCCTACATATGTATATCAACAAAAACGTACAATCCTTAATCTGTGGGGTAGTTATGCATATTCAGCTCCTCTGAGATACTGGGCGCAAACTGGTCCTAACAAACACGAGAACATCATGGGACCTCCTTTGCCAGTACCAAAATATACTAATAGGGGTTTCCCCCTTTTTCTGGCAACAAAACTGACACCTTTTGCAAGGAATCATGTTTACATTAACCACAATACTTGCAGTCAAATGCAAACAAAAAACAATACTCTGATAATGTATGCATTGTCCTTGAAACTGATTGGTCCACACCAGAGACAGCTTTCTTTAGAGCAAAAGGTGTCAGTTTTGTTGCCAGAAAAAAGGGGAAAATACCCTATTAGTAAACACGAGAACGTTTCCTAATGTGAGCGTTTTACAAAGATTGTTAAATCGTTCCTCCAAAATAAATGAGAACTGCTTGGTAGTATTTCGATTTAAAGCTTTCGTGACTGCAGGGATTCATCTTCTTGGTTCTTTC